TGAACTGCAGTCATAGAGTATTGTTGAACTGAGCACGTGAGACGTTCGTTGTTATAGCGCGACTGTTGAAATTAAGTGTATCGCAAAGTTATATTCAGAAATAATAAACCAGTTTTATTTCAGAAAGGACTTGTGTCGCTAAAGTTTCGTCGGAACGAAGTTACGGAAAATTAACTAACAACTGGAGGCGTAACAACCCTAAGAAACTGTTGACCATAAATTATAATAGTTTGGAAAACAACAATCACATTCTTAATTTCGTCAGTCTGCCTGTTTTCTAGTTTTCGTTCTAAAGTAAAGTAAAAAGAAAGTTAAAAAACTATCAACTTATTGCAGTCTGGTAATGTAAGTTTAGATTTGATTACATTTGTGTACCATCAAAATAAAACTCAAACAAATATTAAGATACTAAAGAACACGAATGCCTCCTTACTGCTATTATACAGTATCATGCTTTATAAGTCTTTTGGTGTTATCAAAATTATTTTTTTGTTTTCTGAGTCTGACTGGTTGAAAATATAAAAAAAGAAAAAAAGCTACATTATTATTCATTAGTTGCTTTAAAAAGTTTCTTATGTTTTTATAAAGGTAAACTTAAAGGCTTAACGCTTACAAGCAATCATCCATTTCTTCTTCTCTATTTGTTTTGACTGATTGATACACTTTTGACGTTTTCCTATTAAGGCGACAGGAGTAATAATTTATGTAAACCTTTTAGCTTATCGTACGTTTGGTTCATATACATATAATGACATATGTTTGTTTTGAAGTTAAGCACAAAGCTACACCACGGCTATTGAAACCCTGTTTCTAGCGTTGTTAAGTCCGCAGACATACCGCTGTGTCACTGGGACGCAATGAAATATGTTTGTTTTTTTTGTTTTTGAATTTCGCGCAAAGCTACACGAGGGCTATCTGCGCTAGCCTTCCCTAATTTAGCAGTGTAAGACTAGAGAGAAGGCAGCTAGTCATCACCACCAACTCTTGGGCTGCTCGTTTACCAACGAATAATGAGATTGGCCGTCACATTATAACACCTCCATGGCTGAAAGGGCGAACATATTTGGTGTGACGGGTATTCGAACTCGCGACCCTCAGATTACGAGTCGAGTGCCTTAACCACCTGGCCATGCCGGGCCATGAAATATGTAGTGGTAATATACGTGATCTGTGAAAATTAGAAAGTAGTTTGTTTGTTTTAGAGAAAAGTCACGTTGGACTATCTGCTGTGTCCATCGCGAGTAATAGAACCCCGAATCTTAGCGTTTTAAGTCCGTAAACTTACCGCTGTCCCACTGGGATCATTGAAAAGTGGAAACGATCGACGTGTACGGTTAAGTGTAATGAGGTCATTACTTGAAATGGTGGAAAAGAAGGTGCCGGTGCTCAAGTATTCTTTCGAGTGTGTGAGTGTTATTTAATCCTTATTCTCCACTATTATAATTGTTTATGGACGATACAATGAAGATTTATTGCATCAGCAAAGATTTTAAAACATTCACAAATACATTAAAAACTAGAGGGACACTCAGTAAAGTACATACCTCCGCCACTCAGCGTTGATCATATTCGGCTCTCAAAAAATACGAAAATATGCCCGTCGTTATCAACGGACACGAAACAATTTTGGCAAGACAATGAGGAATAAAATTCTACATATGTTCACCAAGTTTTATCAAAATCCGATCATTTTTGACTGAGTTATAGAGCAAAAATAGTGTGAAAAATCGGTTCCCATGTTAACAAACAGGGATTTTTAGATTTTCGTGACCTTGTTCCTCCAGAAGCTAAATACTTCTAAGTTGGGTCATAGTCCAAATGTATACCAACTTTCGTCCAAATCCATTCAGCTGTTTTCAAGAAATCTTGCTGACAAACATACATAGGGGTGAAAACATAACCTCCGTCGACCTTTGGTGGTGGAAGTAAAAGTGAAACATTTAAAAATTGAAAAAAAAAAAAAGCTGGAAAATAAGTACTTACCGAAAGTTCACTATAGTGAAATTTGAACAAAGGGCCGGTAGGCAAATGATTCAAACTGTGAAGTATTGATACTCAAACATTTGAAATTAAGAAGTATCGGTACTGCGATCGGCGTATAGCAGCTCATTCTAAGCACTATATGAGGTATATTTACATACATGTGCAAAAATAAGTACGATCAAATGCCTAGTCTGGTTTTCTTTATATTTTTGATATACCACCAGGACAGAATAGCATAAAAACTAATCACCAGACTGCGGCACATGTGCTTCCAGTTATTCATTTTGCACTGTAAGCACCACTGAAGCCATATTTTTCTGTGTTTGTGTTATATAATCAGGGTTTTGATTATCAGTTGGCTGCCACAGTAGACTTATGTATGGAGGTTTATATTACATTTCTTTCCTGTGAAGAATATTCGTATAACGAGAGTGTTAAGCATACAGAGTGCAAAGGCAAAATATTTCGAAGGAGAGAACCTTTAGTATTCTCCATAAAATAGAAAAGCTTCACAGTAGAACCAACAATAAATGGCATCGAAATCGCACCACAAACCAAGCTATGAACGCTTTCATTTTCAAAATGAAGAATACCCAATAAAACCCTCTAATGCGTGATAACAAACACTGAATGAAAGCTTTACTGAGGCACAGAAATCAGAAGTTCTCAAACTTCCCGTCACATTTCGAAATTAACAGTTGTTTTAAATTAGAGGATTTCCATACGATGACAAACCTGTCAAGTACCTCCCCTGATGCAGCTCCAATGGACTGTTGTGCTTTTGATATGCTTAAAAGTAGTCTTTGAAACCAAGGTTCACGAACAGTGGAGGATCCACCGTAAGATGTATAGTCTACGTTTGGTCTCTCTGTGCTTGTAACACAGAGGAAATTGTGTTTTCGGGTGTCTGGCAATATTAAATTATCATGATAAGGCCACTGGTAATTACAATCGAAATTGTAGCCCAGAGTAACATGAGATTTGAATAATTTTTCTTTCAAACTTCGAGTAACCCAGAGTATTTATTTATAAAATAAAATTAAAAATTCACCCTTTAAAATGGATGAATGCACCGAATCAAATTTATCTAAAGTCAAAATTAGAACTGCAACTTTCTGGTTATTAGTACAATACAATAATCATATTAAACACATAATTTTATGGCCAGTTGCATAATAAAGCAATGATTTTCAAGAAACTTACGTTCAATTCATACATTAGACATTGGTAAAAAGTCTCAGATTATTTTTGAAGAATATTTTATGTTTTATTTTGGCTGTTTACGAGAATAGCTGGTCACATAATTGAACAAACAATGGGTAATATTTTGTAGGGCAATTATCTACCTCTAAAGTTTTCATAAACTACTTGCTTTGTCTGTGATTATCTTGTAACATCATAGGAAAACTCTTCATGAAATCAAAAATAGCATTTGAGTATCAGCGCTAATACTAGGTCACGCTTACCCCAAGGAAATGTCATGAATAAATACGCAAAATCGGTCTTACACACTTTATGGGCGTGAATCAAATAGTGGGATTGACTGTCAGTTTTATAACGCACCCACAGCTAAAAGTGGGAAGCGTGTTTAGCGGTATCAAGTTCAACCAAATGATCAGCAGGCCGACACGCTAACTACTAGGCCAAGCTTGGCTCCTTTGTATAGAATGACTATATTATAGAATACAAAAGTAATTCAAGTTAATGGACATCAGCTTGGCAAAATAATGTAATGTCGTTAATCATAAGAGGTATATATGTATATTAATTTGCTTTCTATTGAAAGGAATACTGTTTGAGTAAAAACTCTAATTTCAGCTCTTACAAAATGGTGCACCGTGTCTCTGGAGTTTATTCCTACCAATTATGAAATATCAATATTCTACCAGAGGTATTAATATAAAATACGTCCCTCATCGTAGTTTCCAGGACAGCTAAGCTAATATATATAAATAACCTTTCATAGGCCCTAGAATCACTTATGCAGCGAACTTTAAATAAAATACCTCAAATTACAGAATCGTCTAATAAAGATACCAGAAGAATGACAAAGGATGTCCACTGCTATTTACGTTTTGTCATAATGTTTTGCTTGGCTGCTTTTAATGTATAATAAGTTATTAACTCGCCACTGGTATTCACACTTTTAAGTACGATTCGTAGTGCTTGAATATTTAGTTGTTGGCAGTAAAATTGCAATTGATATATGTGAAAAATGTTGACTTTTCTCTCTCTCTCTCTCTCTTTACGTCAGTTTTAATCATTTGTAATTTCAATGATTTATCGTTCTGTACAGACATTTGTTTGTTATCTATATCCGTCAAAGTCCTCAACTTTTTTATCGGAATAATCTCTTGAAGTTTCCCCTTTTTTTCAGCTACAAAAAAAGAAAAAAGAAAAACATTCTTGGTTCAAATACGCGAGGTCACAGTATGAATTAGCGAGCTTTATGAAGACAGATTTTTCCCGTCCGTATTTGCCCCCCAGTGGCACAGAAGTATGTCTGCGGACTTAAACGCTAGAAACAAGGTTTCGATACCAGTGGTGGGTAGAACATAGATAGCCCATTGAGTAGCTTTGTGCTTAACTATAACCAAACAAAACCGTCCGTATTTAGTAAGTTTCATATCAGGATTCAGCAACAAACGTTTCTGTCAAATTCTCGAAAACGATTGCTCCTATTGAGTAACGTGTCTCACAATCTCATTTCTTGGAAGTCATATATTTCTTATGTCAGTTTTCACCACGCAACACAAGAGCTTTGTTTTTCTTAAACCCTAATCTCTTGATGTCTTTAGATAAATCAGGTAATTCAGTAGACCCTTGATCAAATTCCATGTTTGTTTGAAATAACTCTGTTTCTATTTGATGCAATAGAATTTTGTAGAAGACTAATGCTCTTTGAACCAAGGCATAAAAACTGACATACCAGTATTATCTGCTTTTAAATTATAAAACAACCGGTATTTTGTGCTTTCTTCTTCAGCCATCAGGCAAGGACCTCTATGAAGCTTTGTAACTGTGTGTTTTTATGAATCAACTTAAGTAGAATTGAACACTGTCCATGACAAGATAGTGAACGTCATCAGTAAGCTTGCATTATTTTCACTAGATCACTACTTAGTTAAACAACATTGAATAGCGACATTACAGTTTAAAAGATTGGCAAAAAAATAGTTTTACCTTCTTCAGATGTTTTCATCATTAGAACAAAGATCTTTTTTATTAAGGTTTTCTTTTTAGTCAGTTAAGTTTTGGGTATTAGTAGAAAGATGAAGAAATTTTCAGTGAATGCTCGACAGAGAAAATAAAAATAAATTACACATTGTTAGATTTTAATAAACGTTTCCATTATTATAGTTTACTATGTGTTGCCAAGAGAATATAAAAGAACTAAAACGTCACCATAAAAATTCATCAACTGGTCCTTATGAATGATCAAAAGCTTGGCTGATACTTTATAATTTCTGATAACTAAGATTCACCCAATTTTGTCATTTAAATAGGAAGTAAGAAAAACTTCTAACGTAGAAGGACGTGTTACCGAAAGAGACGAGTCTGTGAGATACAGTTTCTTTAACAACACTAATTTGTAAACCATTTCTAAGGAAATTGAAAAAGGTGAATTGGTAGAAAAAAAAGCATATACGATATCAAAAGCTAGTATCAAGGATACGACTGTTCCACGTTACTGATGTAAATATAATAACGTGGTTTTTGTTTTGAAACCCATAGGTTTTTTTGTTTCATGGAGATGAAGTTGGCAACGGGCTCTGTTGAATAGCTGCCTTCCTCCTAGTCTGTCATTTGAAGATTTCGAACGGTTTTGCGCAGGTAATCATTGAGTTTTACACGAAAATTGTAAGTAAATATTCCACTTTTTTTCTGAACTATATATCGTTCTACTCACTCTTCTTTTATACTACAAGATATCTTGATAATAAAATTAGAGAAAAAGAAAAGACCTTTACTCTGCAGATAAAATGTTTTTTTATTATTACTTGGAGAGTAAAGGTCATTTTACGTTTTTAGCTTTATTGCCAACATGTGTAAATACCTTTAGTATACACTACAAATTCTGAAAAACTACAAAATATTTATGATGTCAGTGATGTTTTTAAATACATGGTAATACATCTTTTTACGTTTTTGATTAACATAATTTTTAAAATAAATTTCTTATTTTTTAAAATCTCATTAGATTTTTTTACAAGTTACAACAGCACAAGACATAAGCTATTATATCTGATGAAATGAATTTTGGTCATATGCGTAAATAGGCCGAGCGAGACCCAATGGTTAACATGACAGACATTTCTTTTAAAGTCAAATAATGTCTTGTCCTTGTGTAATCGGTAAACATTTAATAGAACTTCAAAGAATATTATAAGTAAAACAGCTTTTGAAAATATATATTAACTAAAAATGTAAATTAAAATTACTATGCATTTAAATATGTCACTAATATCTCAAATAATGAAAGAAAGAAATCAATATGTAGATTAGATGAAAGAAACGTATGCATTTCAAAACAAGATTATCAAACATTATCAAGTCTGCATCAGCAACTCTAACCAGTCGTATTTTCTATGCTATGTTTTTTTCTTCTAACAAATCACCTTTTTTATTATTTTATAGAATCAGTTTAAGAAATGATGTCAGAAAAACAGTTGCTCAGAGACTCGCCTTTTTGGCTAGTGAGGCCTGGCATGGCCAGGTGGTTAGGGCATTCGACTCACAATCTGAGGGTCACGGGTTCGAATCCTCGTCACACCAAACATGCTCGACCTTTCAGCCGTGGGGGGCGTTATAATGTGACGGCAATCCCTCTATTCGTTGGTAAAGAGAGTAGCCCAAAAGTTGGCGGTGGGTGGTGATGACTAGCTGCCTTCCCTCTAGTCTTACACTGCTAAATTAGAGACGGCTAGCGCAGATAACCCTCGTGTAGCTTTGCGCGAAATTAAAAACAAACAAACAAGTTTTTCGTACTTCATATTTGAATAAAACAATCGAGTGGTTTTTTGTTATCAAGTAAATAAAATATCAGTGAGGTTGTTCACTATGCGTAAGACCAGTTGTTGAATTTCATATAAACATATACATATTCTGGAAACAGTGAATAAAATGTATACAACAAAAACACTTGAATCTGTTTACCATGTAACTTTCACAGGTTCTTGGGAATGCCCCAGAGGAATTATAAAGTCCCTTTCTTTATCAGCTTTCTCACTTTTACAAGTTCGACAGCCATTTCGATTTTCTACCGTAGTGCTGGCGAATGACGTACACTGTCCCGCTATCCATGTGAAACCATCGAAATAACTGCCGATCCTGGCTCGGGTCCCTTTGTTAGCGGGTATAAAATACTGTTACGTCTCCGTTTGTTAATTAACTTTCCGTAACTTCGTTCCGACGAAAACTTGCGACACAAGTTCTTTACTTAATAAGACTGATTTATTCTTTCCGAATATAACTTTACCGATACACTCAATAGTGAGTAACTGAACTGCAGTCGGAAGTATTGTTGACGTTCGTTGATTAGCGTTTGTTTTAACGCGATTGTTGAAGTCTATACACACATCACAACAACCTCACCTTACCGCGTCACGTTTTCCCCTCTTATATATACCAGCCTACCCTACTAGTAAATACTAGAGCATTCGCCAAAGTACATGATAATTCTAGAAACGTTGCGTCCCTGTAGTCATGTGACTCCCTGACGCAACAGTATTTTAGACAGTGTAAACAGAGTAGGACGCCATTAACTTCGACCTAAAGAAGGCCTCAGTATTGAAGCTGAAATGTCGTCGCTCTCTAGAAATAGGTCGGAGCAGTCCAGTAATGCAACAACTGTACTAGTAGTCCAGCAGATAAGCACAACAAATTTGCAAGATTCTGCACTTTTACATACAAATGTAAAAATTTGCTAACTTTAGGCACAGAACCTATTCTGATGTAACACCAATTGATAAAACGCTCTCTGACGGTCTATACTGCCCCCGAGTGACCGATGCGAGCAAGTAATTTATCAGTTGAGGGGTTTTCGGCCATAGTTTCATTGATAATTGGCCAATTATGGCTCAAAATGTTTGCTTGAATGTGAAAATTATTGTTCAGCAATCAGTAAAGCAATAGCTAGTCATTTCATTAATTAGCAAGCAAAAAGTCACATAAATGAACAAAAATCGCTGCATAATACTTTAAGTTTCATGCATCTTTTGGCTTCTAGTTTTCTAGGTCCTTGTAAAGAACTGTTACGTCTCCGTTTGTTAATTAACTTTCCGTAACTTCGTTCCGACGAAATTTTAACGACACAAGTCTTTAC